TTCAGCAGAGATGTTTCATTCTGTGGCCAGAGCCCCATGAGCCCCTGGGCTGCGGCTGGAAAGGCGTGGCCCTGCCCAGCCAGAAGCTCTGGGCCAGCAGCTGGACCAGGGATGGGGAGAGTTAGCGGGGTGTCTGGGCGGAGGCGCCTGGTGGTCGAGGGGTCTGACCCCGGCACACCCCCAAGGGCTGGCTACCCCTCCTGCTCCCAGGCCCAAAGGCAGGAAGAACAGGTGGGGCCGGTGTGTGGGGCCGAGCATTGTGGGTGGGCATTGATGAGGGCGAGGGCCACAGCCAAGTCAGATCTCCTTCATCCTCAGAGTGACTGATGGAGTGAGAGGGAGGGGAGGAGGGGAGCCAGGACATGCAGCAGCCACACTTCCGGCCTCACCCCACTGCGCACCAGCTGTGCATCCAGCATCAGAGAAATGAGGTCTCCAAGCCTCCGCCACCTCCTCTGTCAGGTGGGCGTGACAAAATGTGCCCGCGAGGGGTCGTGAAAATTAAATAGGGTCCCGCTGCAGACAGCCTGGTGGGTGCTTGGCACGGGCAGGCCGGGGAGCGGCTGCTCTGTGGTAGCTGCTGTCGCTCTGTTGCTGCTGGTTCTTACTCCTACATTTCCCCGGCGTGGGGCGGGGGACAGCTTCCATGGTTTGTATTTTTCCAAGAGGAGGAGGCAGTTGCAAGAACAGTGTGAGTCCCTAAAACACAGCCTGACACTAACCCCGTGCGTCGGGCTTTCTTCCGGTTACAAGTGCTTTCGGGCACCCGCTCTGGACAAGGCGTGTCGTGGGCTTTTGCAAAAGAGGAACCCAGGGCCAGAGAGGCTGAGACCAGAACAAGCTCCCCAGGTCACAGAGTCCAGGGCCAGGGCCGCAGCCATGTCTGGGGCGTCCTCTGGGCAGCGCTGTTCAGCCACCCGGGGCATCTGGATGTCCCGCCCAGCCCGGCACCCGGGGTTTCTCGGGGCCCAGCCCCCGTCTCTCCATCACCTGTCCCCCCAACCCCGCTCTGGCCCAGCAATATCGAGCCCCGGCTGCACACGCCACAGCGCATCCTCCGCTCCTGAGAAGGAAAGCGGTTTCTCTCGCTCAGAATCTAATTTCACGCCTGAGACTCGCTGATTAATCCCCTGCCCCTCCTCCGCGGCCTGTCAGCCCCTCCGCTTGTAAATTCCGCGCGTGCCACAGAATTTGTGTGTTTTGCATCAATTAAGTGTCACATTGAGTAATTCTTCCCTGGCACCGGGTTTGTTTATCCCAACCATTCCCACAGGGGGCGGGGTTAGAGCCGCAGAAACTGGCAGGCAGGGAGGCCTGAGAGCAGTTGCCCTCCACATCCGTCCACACGGTGGTACCACGTCTGCACGGCGGTGCCATGTCCATCGAGCTCTGGCACACATGTTGCCATGTTGTCTACAACAGCCTGACGAGGGCTGGAGGCAGCCCTCCCCTCCACCTCCCGTGCAGATGAGGAAGCAGGTGCTGGGGGACCATGCGCTCCCATGCGCACCAAGGGCACTGGTGACCTGTGACCCCGGTGTCTGCAGGGTCTCCTGTGTCCCAGCGGGGTTCATGCGAAAGCAGTGGGAGGTGGGAAGGGAGCAGAGCCTCTAGGAAGTCCTGCCCGAGGAGAATG